TGTCCCACTGCTCCAAACCTCTCATCTCTTAGGTCCAACCTATCAGAATCTCAGTGCGCACTTGTTTCCTGCTTCCGAAAGCTGGGAGGCATGCCTTGGAGAATTTTCAAGAGCTTCCTCTTCTTCCTGGAGGGGATGGTTCTAGTCTGCTAGACCCTCTGGGTCTTGACCCCTTTTGGGGTCAAACGACCCATTTAACAGGGATCACAAGACCAGCCTGTTTATCAGATATTTGTATTATGATCCATAACAGTAGCAAAATTGCAGTTTTGAAGTAGCAGAGAAAATAATTTTATGGTTGGGGGTCACCATAACACGAGGAACTGTATTAAAGGGTTGCATGCAAAATTAGGAGGGTTGAGAACCACTGTGCTAGACAATGATAGGTAAGAATTGATTTTCCTGATGTGTCTGAAATCAAAGCAAAGTAAAATGCAGAATCTTCCTGCCCTGGGGTGACCTTGTGGGTTTGGGGGTACAAGCCAAACCTTAGGCTGAGAGACAAATGCTACAGAGGTTTCACTACAACTTTTTATAGATTTTAATCAATTAATCAATTAATAATTAATTTAGTTTGGAGGACTGGGTCTCCCTGTGTCACTGTGTATCCTTGACTAGCTTTGAAGTAGAGTGAAGACCAGGCTGCCTCCAAAGTACTGGGATTAAGGGCCTGCACTGTCACACCTTGCTCAGATCCTTTTTTTTGTTTTTGTTTTTGTTTTTAACTTTGGTTTCAGTTTTTCAAGATAGGGTTTCTCTGTGTAGCCCTGGCTGTCCTGGACTCTGTAGACCGGGCTGGCCTCTCACTCAGAGATCCCTCTGCCTCTGCCTCCCTGAGTGCCGAGATTACAGGCATGTGCCACTGCACCAGGTGATTTTTTTTTTTTTTTAACAAAAACAGTCTCAGCATTTGTCACACAAGCATGATAAATAAGGGCCACAAAACAATATAAATAAATGTTTCAGACTACACCCCCCGGCCAAGACAGGGTTTCTTTGGCTGGCTGGCTTTGAACTTACTCTGTAGATCAGGCTGGCCTGGAACTCACAAAGATCCACCTGCCTCTGCCTCCTGAGTGCTGGGATTAAAGGCGTGTGCCGATTCCACCAGAGTTGTTTTTCAGGTACAGAAAGCAACTTAAGAAAATATCATTACCATCTCAATTTCTAACTTTGACCATTTCTAATTGGAAACACATTGCAGCAGAGTATTATCAGATCTTCAGTCTTTAAATCTTTAGCTGTTTGTTACCTAACCAAAACCTAGGTGAAAAGTTCTCAAGAGTTTCTGGTTGTGATATTTAGTCTTCTGGTGTAGCTCAGCAGAAGGAAACTTGTAAGAGCTTGAGCTCTACTATAGCAACACAAAATAAGGTGATGGTGATGATAGTAATGGTAAGTGTTGCAGCTCTGAAGGGAAAGGTTTCCCCATGGTAGGTGTTACAGTTCTGAGGGGAGGATATCCTTGCAGTCCTGAGGGAAGGAGTACCATAAAGTCACACTGCACAACAAATCTCACATGAGAGATTTATTGGGAGAGATACAAAATGGTGGCTGCCTCTTCCAGGGTAAGAAGCAGCAGGGGACTGAGCAGGAGGCAGACTTGATACAGGGTTTCTTGGGAGGGGGCAGTTTTCCAGGGTGGGGGTTGGTGTAATTTTTAAGCCAAGGTCAGGGATGGTGGATTTTCAGGTTCATGGATTGGTAGGTTTTCCAAAACATGTTTGGTCCTGGTCATTTGCCTCTTATGAGACCTAATCAGTGGCTCTGCTTGGATATCTTAATGTGACGTGTCAAGATTCCCAGTTGTTTTGTGTTGTTTAAACTAGTTCCTCCTGACTTTTTCTTTATCTGCCCAGCAAAGGGCTTTATGTCCTCCAAGTGCTCCTGAAATTTGTCTGTCAGCAGGTCCTGGCATTTCATCTGCAGATCTCCAGCTATATCATCCTTGCCAGGGCCAAAAGCCTCCAATCTAACTGGTTTTCTGCCCTTTCTGTCTGTTCTTCAGCTCTCCCTTGTAAACCACTTTATGTAAGAATTCCCCTGTAGTAGCAGCTCACACTACTAAAATCTCAGTACATCTACTCCTCTGCCCTAGAGAGGGATCTAGGCTCTGCCTGTGTTTACCTCATGCTTGCTTGCTTTTGTGTTGGCTGTGTTGAGTAGAAAGCTCTTCCAAGCCCTGAGTTGGTGTGTGCTTGCCTTCTCATCGTTGAAGCCCTCTTCTGCTTTGGATACACTGCTCTTAGCTCTTCTTGTGGGCCTCACTTTCTGAAAGGGTCCTATTCCTCTTCTTCCGTGTACCGCACTGAGTTACTTTTAAGTGAGATAGATGTTTTTGAGCTTCTTCTCAGTATTTTAGTATTTTCCCAGCCCAAACAACTATCATCCTCCTGTTCACCATTCTCTCCTTCCTAACCTTCCTCTCCTTCCCACTTCTGTGCCTGAAATGGCACTTAGGGCCTTTTGCATTCTGGGTGTGTGCACTGCTACTAAGCTCTACCTGCCTGTCTTCCCCCCTCCTTTGTCTTCATTAAATCTGTATGTCAGGAGGGAGGAGAGATGGCTCAGCAGTTAGGAACACTGGCTGTTCTTCTAGAGGACCTGGTTCAATTCCCAGCACCCACATGGCAGCACACAACCCTCTGTCACTCCAGTCCCAGGCTGTCTGATTACCTCTTCTGACCCCCAAGGTGAATTTTTACCTCAAATTTTTTCAAGCTGAGGTCGATTAGATGCACAGACACAGAACCAGCACTTTCAGAAGACCAACTGTCTTCTCAGTCTCTACCAAGTGAATGGAGAACGTTGTTTAGTAAGACTTAAATAGCAAGAGAAGTGGGCAGTTAGCAGATGGGATGGGGGGGGGGACTCAGTTTTCATGGAGCCAGGGCCTTACATCAGTTCCAACTTTTAACAACAGCACCTCTACCACATGGCTTAATCTATGTAAAAACTAAAATGTAGTGACCTACAAGGGAAAGCCTCTGAAATGAGTTAGTATATGTCTTAGTTAGAGTTTCTGTTGCTGAGACGAAACAGTACAAAGATGTGCATTCAGGCACATAAAAATAAATACAGTTTCAAAAAAATTAAAGATTCATATGCCAAAAGCTTAGTAATTCACCTCAAAGATACTGACTGTCAAGTGGTAGCAAGGGGACAAGCCTAGAACTGCCATTAACAGCTTGAAGAGTTTTCTTTCTCCTTAGGGCCTGGCTTCCAGTTATGCAAAGCTGAATCCTTGACTGCTCTACAGAAAGAAGTTTGAGGAGGAGTCAAAGTGAAGCCAAGTTAAAATAAGGGAGGGTACATACTTTATGCTGAATCAGAGACTTTTAGAGAGAAGGAACCTTAGAAAGAGAGGACTACACAAGATAAGGGCTTTGTAAGATGTATAGTCAGGCTTAAGTGTCATCTTTACAGTGGCTGTATTTGATTTTTGTGGCTTTCTAAGTGATATAGTCCAAAGGATACAATTTACAACAGTAGTTAAAGGAATCAATAAAGCTTAAATTTTAAGTAAAGCTAAAAAATGAAATAAAAATGAGACCAGATCGATAGTTCAGCAAGGGGTGGCCCTTGCCATTAGGCGTGGAGGCTTCAGTGTAATCCCTGGAACTCACAAGGTGAAGGAAGAGAACTGACGGATGCAGATTATCTCTTAAGCCCCACGTGTGCATCGAGGCGAGCCTGGGGCTGCACACGCTCACAGACAAAATGAGACAGTAAGTCAAAACACATGATCTGGCTTACTGTCTACTTCTCTTGGATTTCCCTTTGTAAATGAAATTCTAAAATGGTTCTGTGAGGTGCATTGCTCAGCTTTAGGGAGAGGGAGGTACTGTGGTTAAAGTCACAGTTTTGAGCGCTTTTGCCCTATGTAAGCATAATTCATTTATCATTAGTTTTTTTGGTATGTTTTTATTTTGTTAAAAATTTTATTACATATAAATATATATGGGTGTTTTGCCTGCATGTGTGTCTGTCCACCATATACATGCCTGGTGCCTTTGGAGGCCAGAAGAAGACATGTGATTTCCTGGAACTGGAATTACTGAGGGTTGTGAGCTGCCCTGTGTGTACTGGGAAATGAACCCTGGCCTCTAGAAGAACAGCTAGTGTTCTTAAATACTGAGCCATCTCTCCAGCCCCTATTTTTATTTTATGTTATGTTATGTTATGTTATGTTATGTTATGTTATGTTATGTT